ACTTTTCTTTATAATGCAATAAAATCTGGCGAGCAGCTATTTAAACGATCAAACACTTCGTTTGTTTATTTGTGGCTTGAAGTTAGGCTCGCAGAAAATGCCGCTCATGGGTTAAATTTAGTAGGAATAACACAACCTGTGACGTAGGCTATAATATACCCAATTATCAAAAAAATTCTCACAAAATTCTCTTCATCGAAGCCGATGCTTTAAATCCGGCTTACTATTTCATATTGTTTTACAACACATGGTTTTAGCCCTCTGGTGGGAAAGACTTTAAAACAAAACTTACAACAGTTACTTTTCTCAACAACTGAAATTTAGAATAGTGTGATTAAGAAAAATATGTGAACTGTTTGAAATTTCAAATTAATACTGAAATGCACGGGTTTAGAATTTTCTACAGTGAAAAGTGGTCGGAACTTCAGTGTCCAAAAAAGTATACAAAAGCTAGTCGTTAAGAACGTATCCAATGAACTGCGAAAGCATTTCCGGGGGTTGGCGAGCGCCAGCGAGCAGGGGGCGAAGCCTCCTAGTTTATATAATATAACGTGTAATTTAACCCATTGATGCACGAACGAAAACAAGCACAAACTGGTTTCAGTCGGGTAAAAACAATAAAGCTGTATAGAGTATCACCTGATAATTAATATTTTACATAGAATCTTACAGTGCGTCGAATAATTTGGCCATGGACTGTACATGGCAGCGTTTTTTTTTATTGTACTCAGACTTTAAAAAAAAATAAAACACTATTTATGTAAGAGAAAAAGTTTATTTCGTCAGTGTTACTAAGTGTTAAAAAATAATCAGCGCTTTTTTATGATTCTATAGACAGTGTTTCATTTCCAACGACTGGCGGAGGATCTTCTGGGAACCTTCCTCAGAACACCTTCCCTCTCTAGGTTCTTGTGTCTGTCCATGGATACTATTCCAGATGGAGTAAACAGCACATTCAGTCTTTCACCTGTATTTGAAATACAATTAAAGAAAGAATACACGATTGATTGGATTTTCACACACTAAAATACAATCTTATTCGATTAATTTATACCACACAGATTATCGAAGTCCGGCATCACTGGCCGCAATCATTGAAATGGTGGGGGTGACCAGTCTGCGAAGGACACCTGGGACCAACCTGAGTTTGGTGAACTTTGGTCGGAGCTTCGGTTTAGTATTTCATTTAGAAATGTGCCGTTTTTAATTTTTAACGAGGAAAGATCTCGGTAAAAAGAATATCTGAACAAATTTTCATTAATCTTGCCTCATTCTGCTATAATAGGAATTTTGTGTATAGTAATTAGTGAAAATAGACGAGTGCATCGCTAACTCTGGTCATATAGGCATGGAGTACTTTTTGTTCAAACTGTTTCATGCAACGAAAAAGGCATATCAGATAGTATTAAAAACAAATATTAATAACAATTATTTAGTGTCTTTTCAAGCGCCCTGTAATAATATCCTGCGTGGTATAGGACCTCGTTAAACTGCTCAACCATAAAGTGATCAACTTCACACGCAGATCGTCGGGCCATCCCCTCACCAGAGTATTAAAATCGTAAAGGCATATCTTCAAATCATCCTCGAGGATGTTTCTGAGACCATCGTCAGTAGTCTAGTGCGACGTAAATGTACTACTATTTGCGAAATTTTACAAAGCGTTATACTTTCCCTTAACTACAACGGTGATGGGTCACGTTTATTTTAGCAACATCAACTCCAGTGCCCCTTTCAGCCGGCCAGGTAGCTGAGTGGTCAGCCTACCTGACTGTGAAGTCAATGGTTGTGGGTTCGAATCCCGCTCAGGGCATGGATATTTGTCTCTTTGTGTTGTTCTCTATTGTGTGATGCGTGAATGTGGCCCACCCTATAAACGGGTATCTGTGTCAATGTGGCGTGGGTAATGTTGCTCGCCTCCGTGACTTAGGTTCACATGTGTCCACTGAGTAACGTTAAATGAGCAACACCTTCGAGGTGTAGAACGAAAGTTCAGTGCCTGCCGTTCTAAAAAAAGAACACCAGACCCTTTTGCCGACGAAATTTTCAAATCTATCTATAAAAAGAAAATAATACTGCCTCATACAATGCTACGCCATAATAAAAACTTCGCATTTATGCAGTATAAAATCTTCTTAAACAAACGCAAAACATTTCGCAATAAATTGATGTAATTACAAAGAATTTAATCAGAAAAACACAAATTTTTTAAATTTATCTCTCTCTGATAAATAATCTCCGCTTGTTATTTCCGGTAAAGTTGTGAGAGTTAAATTTTGATTTGCTGCGCAAAAATTGGAAAACCAGGGAAAGAAGGGGTTAAACCACGGTTAACCAGTCATGGTTTAGTCCCTTCTTGTTGTCCATAGTTAAAGAAATCGTGTATAGTGCGGCTTTCAGGAGAACTCCAGACACCCGTCTCGCGTCGTGGCGGGTACTATGGTTACGAGGAAAGGTCACTTCGAATAGGGGTGTTGGGTGAATAGTTTAGTCTTAATCTTAGCGTAGGTCGTCGTGAGTAAACCAATCGACACCTTCTTACCTCCGTTTCCCCCATTTAAAATGTGCTCTAGCATGTTACCATACCAGCAGACAGCCCCAGACTTTTAGACTGGAGGAGTTCTCCTCAAAGCCGCACTATAATTTCTATTCTATTTACAAAAAGTATAATGAGGAAAAAAAACTTTCTTACTTCCGTTATGACTTTTCATTGGAGCTCTCTTCGTGCCTTTTTTCTCTTCCCAATCTAATGGAACGATAACCTGTTGAACATTAGAACAAAACTCTAAAAAATATTTAGTAAAAATTTTCGCTGTTAATATTGCGTAGTATTTTCGTGCGAACTTGGAGAGGAAGCAGGGAACATCATAGGAATTGTAAATGCATAATGACTCTTGACCCGTAATGTCACCATACGCCGATAGGGTTACTTTCTTATTATGGATTGACTGTTCATGCGCCTCTGAACCTGAACTTTTATTTATGCAAATTATTGTAATTTTATGTTTATTCTACGTTTTCTTAATTATTATTAAAAGTTACATTCAAATAAGTCAAGTCTGGGCCAGGACAGCCTTGTTGGTAGGACACTGGGACCATGTCTATGAGGTTGTAGGTTCGATCCCGCCGGTCGAAGACTCCCAGTGTAGTAAATGGCGACTTATGCACGTTAAATCAGTCGAGTCACAAAGTCCTCCATGTTCCCACAACAAATCATACCTCTGGGGGTATTTTTCCAGGAGTTTCCTCGTCTTCTGGATTGGGATCAAAATTACAAGGCTACGGAGTTAAACATTAGTAGTCGTAAACCCAAAATTATGTCGGCTGTTTTCAACGATGGTTATAAAATTCAACTAAGTCAAAAGACAATTTTTTTAAATTTCAATTTGATGATTAGGCGTCTATTTTGGAGATTTCGACAAGTTAATCGACAAATTATTACGATAAGACAGCTATTTTCGGGCTTATTTGTATGCAGTGTTTTGACCATAATTATTAGAAAACATATCATAATTTAGATGAATAAGAGACACCGGTTTAAATTTGCAGTCCACAAAGACTAAACGTTCCAAGTGACGTTATCTGACGTTTTTACGACATAAGCGACTCTCAGTCCTTATCATGTGCCCTACATTCCCTCTAAGTTGTGATATGAAGTTAAGAAATATACAGTAAAATTGCTTTTAAGTTTAAGAAATAACAAACATATTCAAGCCATAAATATTTTCATTGATAAATTATATCAGAAAGACATCATAATATTGAATATACTTCACATAAGTTTTTATTTGTTTACTTCATTGCGTGATGCAACTTATCACTGAAATCTTCTATATGTTTATCTGTGAAAAGGCCTGTCAGTGTATCGAAGTGGAACTTTCCTCGTACACTTGGACATTTTTCGATCTCTAGTCAGTAAGGCTTTCAGTGTTTACTCGACTTCCCAATGAGATGACCCAGGTTCGAATTCCAGGGATGGCTGGTCTGTACGAATGTTGCTTCCGGCTTTCACCGATCACAGTGCTGATATAAAATATCCTCAGTGGTAGAGAAATCATTGGTTAGAATCCCTTTACCATCGGGTTAACCATGGGAAGTTTTCGCATTTTTCTTCTCCCTGGAACGCAAATGCGGATTAGAGTTTCATCAAAAACGTCCTCTACAAGGTTGGTTCAGTCAGTAAGGCTTTCAATGTTTACTCGACTTCCCAATGAGATGACCCAGGTTCGAATCCCAGCGATGACTGGTCGGTACGAATTCTGCTTCTGGCTTTCACCGATCACATTGATCAGCCTACGTAGGGACCGACGTTGCGCATTATCGGTCCTCGTTAAACTGTTCTACCGCAAAGTGCTCCACTTCGCACAGGTCGTCGGGCTACAAAAGCAGGGGAGCCGTCCCCTCTGCAGAGGATTGAAATTGCGATAGCGTGTCTTCGGATCATCCTCAGGGATGTTTCCCAGACAATAGCCCATTATGCAGCTCTAGTGCGACGTAAATAAAGTACCCAGTGGCGTACGCAAGAGAGGGGTTTAGGGCTTTAAACACTCCCCTTGAGCTCAGACAAAATGGCAAAAATAAACATTTTTGTAGAAATTATGCGAGCTATTATTTTTTAGGACTATATATTTTTATTTGCCTTATGCCTACTTTTTTTCCTCACGGTATTCTGAGGAATACCGTGAGAAAAAAAACATTTACTATAATAGGGTTGTACTTTTGAAACCAAATTCACGTGATACTGTTACGGACTGGTTCCTTTCTGTCCTACCAGTATAGTTTTCGAGACTGGCNTATCCTCAGTGGTAGAGAAATCATTGGTTAGAATCCCTTTACCATCGGGTTAACCATGGGAAGTTTTCGCATTTTTCTTCTCCCTGGAACGCAAATGCGGATTAGAGTTTCATCAAAAACGTCCTCTACAAGGTTGGTTCAGTCAGTAAGGCTTTCAATGTTTACTCGACTTCCCAATGAGATGACCCAGGTTCGAATCCCAGCGATGACTGGTCGGTACGAATTCTGCTTCTGGCTTTCACCGATCACATTGATCAGCCTACGTAGGGACCGACGTTGCGCATTATCACTCCTCGTTAAATTGTTCTACCGCAAAGTGCTCCATTTCGCGCAGGTCGTCGGGCTGCAAAAGCAGGGGAGCCGTCCCTTCTGCAGAGGATTGAAATTGCGATAGCGTGTCTTCGGATCATCCTCAGGGATTTTCCCAGACAATAGCCCATTATGCAGCTCTAGTGCGACGTAAATAAAGTACCTGCCAACCTACCTATAACTGCAATAAAAATAAATTTTTAAAAAAATCACCTCATCTGCGAGGGGTAGACTTTGGTGTAAAGAAAGCAGTTGATCAGAGGATGGATGGGAGAACTCATCCAGCCATTCAGTCATTTTGGCCAGTCGACGCGGATTCAGCAAAGTATGCTCCTCTGTCAAGTAGGGAATGGCATCGACGTCGTCGAAAGGCTTCTCGTCAAACATATCCATCTGGAACATAATCATTACATATCTTTCTTTTATTTGAATCAAAAACGAAAACACAAGAAATTTTAAAGAAGTACGAGCTGTATGAAATTTTCCACCCCAACAGCAGGAATGTGCAGCGAGCAAAATTGAAAACAAACCACCCTCAATAACTTTTGATCTAATGATCGGATCTTCACGTTTTAGGACTCAATCTCAAATATTCAAATGGGTAGCCGCAAACATACAAATCAATTAGTGAAGACGATATTTTAAGTTACGAAATCAGGCACAAAAACGTTCTTTCTCTGAATAAGCATACATTTCTTTCAACGGAATTCGGATTTCTGACCCCCAAAACATAGGGGGTAGCCGCAATCTGATAAATATGCTCCCAATAGTTTGGTCCGAAAGAACATTCCAAAGTTTGGACTTTTTAATGTTAATTTCACTTTTTGCATATTTCGCCATATCTTGAGACATTTTTAAGCTAATTTAAGAAAATCTTGCACGCAATTATAAAATTCATTTATACCAAAGATATTTTCAAGCAAAAAATAACTTTTAGTAAATATTCATTATTCTTATAATTTTATTTAATATTAGTCGAAAAATTTTGAATTGTAAGGTATGAAATTTTTTACACCATTTTAAAGAGTATAATTTTACGTGGCAAAATATAAAATTTGAGTGAAATCAGTCGAATAGTTCCTGAAAAATCCAATTTTTATAAAATACGTTGAAATTTTGACCAATATGTGAAAAAACAAAAGGGGCATAAGCTGTACCCTAAATAAAGGAACTGGTCACTTGTCCAGCACTGCAGCTGACCAATACCCTGTCAGTCAGAGAAAAACATGTCTAATAATAGAAAAACATGCCTATGATAGTCCTTAACGACTACACAACTCTCGCATCGTCATTCACGGGGTCTTTATTAATCCATGTGGCAATCATGCCCAGTCTTGCACCAACGAACCATTGAGCTCATCGATGGTCATTGGAGCCGGTATTTTACACTACCAAAGGCGCCGCACGTGTTTTCGAAGGGATTAAGGTCAACGAACATCGCCGGCCTCTTAAATCGTTGAATATCCACTGATAAGAGTTATTCGACCACCAACTGAGCCCTGTATGGACGGGTGTTATCATCGATATAAAAAAAATTCTAAATGCTCCACGGAAAAGTCTTACATGGGGTGCAAGGATCTCGTCCCTGTACCACTGACCTGTCAAATTACCTCAATTGAACTCATGAAGATCGGTATGCCCATCTGCCATGATGACTCCCCAGACTATCACAGTCGTTTTTTTCGACAATGTTAGAGGGCTGATATCGACTCCCCGATCTCCAGATGAGAACACGTCTCGAGTCGCTGTCCAGACTGAATCGTGACTCATTACTTAATTGCCACCAATCATTCTCTGTCTAAGACAGGTCTTCTGGCAGCACCACGCTAGACTGTTTTTTTTGGCGGGGGAGGGGTTCGCAGTAAAAGAATGCAGATTACTGAACATCTGGTATACAGGTAACCTGCATTAAGTCTCTATGCGACTGTTATCCGCAAAATAGATGTCCCTGTTACATTAGACAGGTAGCGAAACAGTTGTGTCACTGTCGCGGATCTATTCCTTTTGGTTAGAAGTCTCAACTAACAGTCTTGAGCTGACGTTATTGTCTTTTTTTTTTGGCTACCTTGACCAGGTCAAACCAGGTATTTAAAACCCATATAGATTTTTTGCGAAAATTGTCCGCCAAAAATTGACAACTAATAAATTTTGGTTCGCGGGCCACAAGAAAGGCGTCGCGGGCATCCAGTTGGAAACCACTGGTCTGGAAGATGACGACTGACCATACTAACGATACGTAAAAAAGAATATTTAGTTTGACGTAATAAACTTTTTGTCATTGAATATACATTTATATAAAATATGATTTAGATATTTTTAATTATGTATATCTTACGTTCTTTTCTTCCTTTTTTTCATTTATATCGACTTCTTTTGTTTTCTCCAGTAATTGTACTACTTTCATAAGGGCTATTTTATTTAGGAGTTGACCAGCACTTCAGTAAAATGCCGATTGTGAGCCAATAGATTTAAGGCTCTACAATTTCGTGATCTACGGCATAATTATGGCAATGTGGTCAGTATTGCGCATATCTCTACGTCCTAAACAAGTTGATACCCATGGATCTGAAGCTGTATGGGCTTCAAACCGGGATCAAGACCCAGTTCTTCACAATCGCAATACAGTGCCTTAACCATCGGGCCTCATCTAGAACCGGACACATCCCTGCTTATGTATCCTGAGTATAACTAATTTTAACGAAAGCACAAATTTTTTTTACCAATACCTACCCAATTGACACTCATCATTCAGGTATCTCTAGGGCAGATTTGTTGGCCACTCTTTTAGGAGAACCCTATCAGGAGAACCCTATTAGGTGGTCTAACGTTGCTCGCACAGTAAGGAGAGATAGTACAGAGAATGAAAGAACACCCATGCCTTGTCTCGGATTCGAACCCTGAACCTTTCTGATGTGAGGTCAGCTCCCTGACCACTTCACAGAAAATGCTGAATATTTCGGGCTGAAAATGAATAATAGATTTGTGGAGAAAAAAGACTAACCTGGTTGAACTGAGGCCAGATGACGTGTGGTTTCAGTTGTGGGTTAAGAGCCGAGAGATCTACCTGAACTAGCTTAGGTGCAAGTTCGCCATATTTGTAAAGAACCAAACCCGGTAGAGAAGGTCTTAGGGCAGAAAGGTCAATGGTCACTCTGTCTTCAGCCCTCTTCATCCGCATTCCAATTTCGGAACCTAATGGAGTTGCTTTGCCAAAGTGAATGACAAGACCCAAAAGAAACCAAACCTCCATTTTTTTCTTCTTTCTAAACTGCAATAAAAAAGATCAATATACCAAATTTTGATTTTTTTTTTTTTTAGTTCACTTAAACTGTGCATCCTTTAGTTCGAATTTAATATCCGAAAATTCAAAATGGTAAAGGTTGGAATGCTTTGAATGTGACAATTCGAATAATGAATTTTTTTCTTTTAAAATATTGATTTAATAAACCACTCTATCAACACAAAATATAGCAATAAGTATTAGAATTCATTGAATAATTGAAGAGCCAACTGCAAGATCAAGGTTAGTCCAAATTTTTATTACATTGCATTTAAGACTTAGAAAAGAAAATTAGTCATAATGCATCAATAAGTTCACGAACAAGGCAGTCAAGCAATGCTATCAATAATACTATTATAGCATTTAAAAAAAATAAAAAATAATATATATATTTAGCTTACTTGCTAAATTGTAGTGATGACAGCTTATAGTAATTTCATTGTTATGACAATGTAGCTCTATTTTGTTTAAAATCATATATGTCGTGGGCTAATTTTGATTTATTTTGAAACCAGTGTTGAACAACCGACCCATTTTGGGGTTTCCGACTATCGACGTTTAACTTAGCCCAGCCCAAAAGACAAGGGTACTCTTGGCATTGGACAATGGATCGCACGAAGACGAAAAGAGTTATTCTTTCTCATGATCCGTTTAGGATATTTTACTCCTCGATACGGATGCAAAATTCATTTTGACCATATCTGAGATTAGGACCGACCATAATTGAAAGTTTTTGCACTCTTGAAATGGGCCAATCTATGGCCGGGATAGCCTGGTTGGTAGGGCACTGTGCCCTTGTCCAAGAGGTCGTGAGTTCGATCCCCACCAGCCAAAGACGTAGTAAATGGTGACTGATGCACGTTAAATCTCTCGAGTCACAAAGTCCTCTATGTTCCCATAATAAATCATACCTCTGGGGGTAATGATTCAAGAGTTTCCTTCTTGTCTTCTGGATTGGTTCAAAATTACAAGGCTACGGAACATTACGGATTGAACATTAGTTATCGTAAACCCAAAATTGGGTCGGCTGTTCAACGACGGTTATAAAATAAAATAAAACGTGACAATCTAGTTGGAGAAGTCTGTAGTTTTTATAAACTGCTTGATATGTTTGCAGTGAATCTACATACTTTAAAGCTAATTAGAAAGTACACAATTCATCGCGAAACAATTAGCCCAATTTATTTCAAAGCCGTTTATTATAAGTCCAGATTAATGTAGGCTTATTTTAAAGAATTATTAAAGGTTTATTACAAAATTGCATTATTTTATAACTTGACAGTGCTGGTAAATATTTAAATTTAGATCCCTCTAAAACTGAAAATTTCAGTGTAAATATAGAAATCCGAACATGGGACAAAATTGTTTATAATTTTCGGTGCAAATTTAAAATATTAAACTATAACATTTAATTCTTTATAACTTCAGTCTTTTTACTGTAATATCTTAATTAAAATTAAAACAAATTTTTAAGATGATTCACTTCACTTAAAGCGCCAGCATAACACAAGATTGCCAAACTGTCGAAATTTACAGTGAAATTTTTAGTGATAAATATCAGAAAAATTCCATTTGTCGACTCTAATCCCCTCTCCCCTATTCCATTACAATAGCTAAAATTGAAAATTATCAAAATTAACTTTAACTAAAAAGAGTTATTATCTTCAGTGGTAGAGTATTATCTTCAGTGGTAGAGTATTATCTTCAGTGGTATACGTATCACGAGTTAGAGTTCCCTCGCCATCAGACTAACCGTGGGAGGTTTTCCTGGTTTCCCTCTTCGTATAACGCAAATGCAGGTTAGTTCCATCAAAAAGTCATCCGCGAAGATAAAGTTGCTCCCGATGCCTTATAGTTTCCTTTTCTTCTGGGTTGCGTTCGAAATTACAAAGCTACGGTATTAAACATTGGTAGCCGTAAGCTCAAAATTTCGTCGGCTCTTCAGCGAAAAGAAAAATGCTTACGTTTTTCGTTAAAATAGAGTCCTGATCTAAACACACGTTTATATCTAAATACGTTAGTTAAAGTGCATTAATAGTTATGAAGACATGAAATATTTAACTAAACATTAACTTGAAAGACGGGTATTTAAATGTCATTGAAGGGCTAATAATTATACTGTTATTTTAAAAGAAAAACTCAACTGTACTCACCCGGAGCCTGTTAACGAATGAACGAAAGTTCCTTGATACTCTAATAAACCATTTGATTCGATTATTTTATATAAGACGTCCCACAACGCCACTCCCCCACTTTCTAATACAGCAGTGGGAAGGATTCCATTACTGAGGCTTTTAACCTTTTTGATTTACTTTTCTCTGTGCCTTTTCGCATAAAATAAATCGATACGTAAAATAAAATGAAGAATCTTTATACCGGATTGTGGGTACATCGTTAAGTTTTTTAAAATATGACATTCAACACGAGCAATTGTCAACAATTAAAGAAGCCCGGTTTTTGATTTTCTAATACATTTGAAAAATGGAATTTTTTTCTCTAGCTTATCGGAAGCCATTGTTCTAAATTTAAACTATTGACGATTCAGTTTTGTCAGATATTCTCCGACATCAGCGTCTGCTGGCTTACAACTCTTATCAAGAAAAGTTTATTGCACTTTCCATAATTCTTAAATATTTTTAGTCGTTACGCCAGTTTATCTGAAAGAACAATGTGATGGTGATAGCATAGGCACACTACGTCACCAAATTATTATTACTGAAATGATGTTTAGTTTTATGGTTATGTGTTAAAAACGTGCTAACTAAATAATTTAAAATCAACGGTAATTGAAATTTTAAAAAAAAATGTGTACTGAAAAACAAAATTAAGTTAGAAAATGTATTTAATTGTAATGGAGATCAGTAAAAAGTCGCCATTCTATTATTGACACCAATGATGCTTAATTTTGGTAGTTGACACTACTGGCATTATTGAATTTGTCAAGTATCAATTTTCTTAAATGGTTCATCCGATATTCTTTCTCAAAGATTTCAATAATTAAACTACTATATACCTCTTACCTAACACAAAGACAAGCACGAAACGATGTAGAACGAAAAGCAAACTGTGGAGCTAGACTCCCGACAATGACAAACCGTTATTCATCAAAAGGCATTTTATCAGAGATAGAATTTGATTAATGGGTACTACTAGTTGATTCATTGCCGCTTTGCGAGAGGCTGGGAGAGCTGTATTAAGATAACCGGACTTTGCGTGCTGGTAGGGAGAACTGTTTTATACAAAAAAAAATTAAAAGCAATGCAATGAATTTGAGAAATTTTCATATCAGTATATGCTCGAATGCTCACTTTATATGAAAGGGGCTAAAGGGTTTAGCAGTATAAATATATTAAAAAAAGATAATAAATTTTTTGCATGAGAGCTGTTATGAATTAAACTCTTTTAGCTAATCCTCTTCCCTCTGTGATGTTTTCTGATTCTCGTGTGGCACTACCGGGATAATTTGGAGCTAGTATTGATACGGAAATCTACCCATTGAATTTCATTATAAAGTGTATCGCAATTTCTTAAAAGTATTTTAATATTAAATAATTGAAGTTTCAAATGTTCAATGCTTAGTAATTGTAAGTTTAGTGTTTTCAGTGTAAAGTTTTATTTCTTTTTCCTCCTACAACTTTAGCTTAATCTTCAAGCTAATCTACTCGAAAGGAACAATTCAATTTTGAGATGGGCTTCTGGACACTGCAAATGGAAATGATACACTTTGGTGGAAAACTAGGGGTTGTAGGTTCGATGCTGACAGCAAACGTGATCCTGTGTCTGAAAATCCTCCTGCTAGATGTTGTGAAGAAGTTTGAATGAAAGACGCGTATAGTTTGTCCACGGTATGAACTCCCCCCGCCACAAAGTCTGAGACCTATGGTGCTATGGAAAAAAGTAAAGTGCATTTCAGGGAGGGTAGCTTCTCTCCACTCTAGGGCTAGCACTATAGACCAAAGAAAAGGATTACCTTTCTCTCTCCGACGCGAGTCAAAACCGAGTCAAAAATAAGGACTAAATGATACCTTCCAACATACACAGATTAACTTTAATAACTCCTCAACTTCACTTTTTCATATTAAAGATAAGCGTACAAATCAAGGTAAATGGGGATCAAGAAGTAATGGAAACTCGCTTAATGGTGTCAAATTAAATATAAAATAGTAAAAATTTTAAATTTAATAATTTATATAATAATAATATCATTAAAAAAATTTTAGCTTTATATAATAGGTTAAAAATTAAAATTAGCAATATACAATCTCCTTACTTAATTATCAATCCTAAATTTCATAAAATTCCTATAGAATTTAGAACAATCACATGTGGGTCTAATACTTACCTAGCTAAACCTGGCACCATTTTCTCTAATTGCTTAAATAAAATTATTAGCAATGTTATTAATGAAGGTTTTTCTTGGATTATCACTAATAATCAACCGATTTAAGAATTTATTAAACATAATAAAGTTAATTCGATTACGACTTTTGATTTCCATGATCTTTTCAATAGCATTCCCTTTTCAAAAATAAAAGATGTCCTTCTGAATTATCACTATGATATTGAAAATATCCTTAATTGCGATTTCGATTATCGGTAAATTCTAATTAATTTTTGTCTTTTTAATAATTATCTTTACAATGAAAAAGATATTTTTCTTCAAATTGATGGAATACCACAATGATCTAATTTTTAATTTATCTTAGCAAACTTATTTTTGCACTATTATGAAAAAAATTATACTCTTAATATTAAATTTGTTTTCAGATTCATTGATGATTTAATTTTCTTTAATTTTCAAGCTTATTCTATTTTATTAAATAATATTTACCCAGAGGAATTAATCTTTCTTCGTAATCATGATGATAATATTTATTTCAATTTTTTGGATTTGGGTATTATAAAAGAAGAAAATATCTGCTTAGTTGATTTATTCCATAAAAGAAATGATTTTAATATAAATAAACTAATTACTTGGAATTCTAATATTTCTACGAACATCTATTTAAATACCATTTTTAATCAAATGAATAGAATTAAAAGAATATGTAGCAATGTTTATTTATCCAAAAAACAAATAGACAAACTCTTTCAAAATTTTATAAAAAAACAATGGATGCCCAAATAAAGTAATTAAATTCTGTATATTGCATATTATTGTAAATAAATTTACAAAAAAACTTCTTTGTATAATTTTTACCATGTGCGCATCCATTTCGGGCAAATCCATCATGAGCAATGTAAAATTATGTGCAAACCAGGCAATTCATGTTTCTTTCCCTTTTCTACTTTACTTTATTTATTTTCTTAAATAGAAGTAATTTTCAAAAATTATTAATTGTCAACTTCTTTAAGCTATCCAGTATAATATAGTTCGAGCACATCCATTCTCGAGCCCGTCCTTGATAACTAACAAATCAAACGCACTTCAGTACTGCAATAAGAACGCCCTATAAAACAAAACCCCTCTATTTACTCTTTTACCTCAATTTGCGCTTCTGTTTTCATCTTTTGTAATCTGGCAATCTTGTTACGAAAATATTTTAAATCATTATTGAAAAAATTCCCGTACATGTAAGTTCATTTGAATTCGCTACTCCCATTATAGATTTCATTTTATGTTTTATTCTGTTTTTTCATTACATTTTATTTTTTGTCTTTACGTGATAATTTTACTTAATGTGTTCTATTTAATTTGCTGTAAATTTTTTGTAATTTCGTTTTTTTTTCTTTTAGTGCTCCTTACACTATTGTGTTGATATATTTTGCCCTGGCTATATATTGATACAATATTAGAAAGCACTCCTTTTTGTGGATATAATAGTGTGAGCTGATGAAAAGATTATATCTTTTATTTTCCGGATTTTTATTACTTTTTTTATTTATTCATCTTTATATTTTTTTTCTTCCCTTTTTCGGATATTTTTTTCCGGATTGTTATTGTTCTTATTATTATCATTTTTCTTTTTCTCTTTTTTAATTGTTCTGTAATTTCATCCATGTTTTCTCTACTTTTGAATATATATATATATACCATAATGTGTGTATATGGGGATCTGAAAACCCCCATAAATACCGTGAGACACAAAGGGATTTCCCTAAGGTTAATGTGTGGTGTGGANGCAACATACCTCTCTAATACTAATATCTTTTTGCAAGATACTTTAATATATATATATATATATATACATGTTATATTTTTAATTATTTGTTTATTGTTGTTTCTATTTATCTTCTGCGCAACATGTAAGAGTTAGCGGAAAGCTTACAGGGGGTGGAGGGTGTTGTCGATAGAAGGAGACATAGATTTAAAAGCTTCTGTATTAATAATGGAACACAGCATGATGCAATGGGTTAGCGACACGGGATATTTATTGGATTTGATTTCATCGGAATTATACTTCTTCATAAGTTTATTCTCATGTATCGCCTTCAGATTTAATTTCTCGAGTGACAAAACATGTTACAATTTTCACTTTCCCTGTATGATCACAAATAAATAATTAAAAAAAAGACAAATTTGAAAATCTATCTGTAATTATTCGTCTTAAGAAAAAAAATCTATTTTTTAATAGTAATTTTACGTCAGTATTTCGTACGTCTAACGTTTTTTGCTAGAATTAATATTGTTTAAGTTATTTATAAAATATTTCAGAACAGGAGTTATGGAGGTATTAACGCGAGTTGAATGATCGATTTAATTTTTGTTGAAAGGCAAATGTACAGTACGGAAAATAAATAAAAAATTCAAAAAAAGTGACTACTCTGAATAACTTTTAATGTAATGATCAGATCTTCACGTTCTAAGACTCAATCTTACTGGGTCGAAGGGGTGAACTCAAACATGCTGATTAATAAGGGCAGACGATGTTTTAAGTTACGAAATCAGACACAAAAACGTGTTTTCTCTGAATAAACATACCTTTTTTTCAGTGGATTCAGATTTCTGACCCCTAAAATATAGGGGGTAACAGCAATCTGGGAAATATTTTCCCAATAGTTTGGTCAGGAAAGTGCTCCAAAGTTTAAACCCTTTCCTTAATATTAATATTGTTCTTTTTATGTATTTCGTTAAATCTTGAGAACTTTTTAAGCGAATTAAAAACTTTTTGCTCACAGTTATAAAAATCATTTATCCAAACATAATTCCATGCAAAAAAATAACTTTTATCAAATATTTACTATTTTTTAATCATTTTATTTAATAATAGTAAAAAATTGAACTGTAGGGCATACAATTTTATGTATCATTTTCAAATATAT